ACATTTTGGGGGATTTCAGGGTTTTGAGCCAGGCTGAGCCCCTCATCTGGGACACAACCCCCACCCCCAGCTCTGAATTCGCCCTTCATTCTTTTTGCCTCCTCCTCCTCCCCCTCCCTGCCTCAGCTGCCTGCTGAATGAAGGATGGGTTTTTAAGCCTTTTTTACCCCCAAGGCCTGCAGCGCTGGCTTGGCTGCTATCGCTGGGATAAATGCAGGCTTTTCGGCCTAGAGCAGCATCCGGGGGAGCCGCGGCGCTCCCCCCGTGCCGGGTTATCAATCCCCGCTCAGCGCTGCCAGCGCCGGGCTGGGTCCTCTCCACTGGGAGCCCTCTTCTTACCCTCTGGCCACGAGAAAGACCAGCGTGGCTTAATTCCGCGCAGTATCAACACCAAACAGACTCAGCCCCGATGCTACTGGCTCCTCTTAATTCGCCTTTGTGTTCTTCGTTTTCATGAATTTTTCACAAGTTTCCCAGCTCTCTCCGTGCCGCCAGGCTGCGGGCGGGTTGGGCTCGCCGTGCGCACCCGCGTGGGGCCGGCATCCCGCCGCCTCGCCTCCTGCCGAAAACGAGGTGGCAGCAAGGTGCTTGGGCTCTGCTCACCCCATCCTCATGTCCCAGAGATTTTTGGGTGGCTCGAGCATGAAAACCTCGGTGGAAGGGCCCGGGTTGGTATCAGAGCAGAGCGCAGGAGTGGCACGGTGCCCCCGGTGCCAAGGGCAGTGCCATTTCCTCCCCAGCCCCGTAAAAATATGGACGGTGCCATGCCATGGTGGGGAAGATTTTTGGAAAGCAAAATGAAGCAACCAGAGCCCTCGACAGGCTTCAAAAAAACAAACGTCTTTATTTATTTATTTATTTTTGCTCTAGTGCAAATGCAACCTCCATCCATGACTGAGAGCTGGGAGCTGCTTTCTCCTTTCCAGCTCTGCCCGAAGAACAGTGAAATTAAGGCAGGCTGGAGAAAAATGGAGATGAGCCCAAAACAGAACATCCAGAGCCCAGGCAGGGCTGTTGATAACCACCCTTTCAGGTTGAGTTTAAGCACAGATAAGATGGGAACCTGCCTCCAGCCACCCCAGCCTGAGCCTTCCTCCGCTTCCAGCTTCGTGGTGCCGGGGCCAGGAGGACAGGGGGGCGAGCAGGGAGGAGAGCAGGGAGGTGAGCAATATTTTGCAACGAGGCTGCAGCACTTCCATGCCCGGGTTTGTGCAGGGGAAGTCGTGCTCATCTCTGGGTGCATCACGGGGGCTCTGGAGCCCGTCCTCAGCAGCCCAGGGCCACCATCTCCCCCCTGTCCCAGCCGAAAGGAGCTGGCAGAGCCTTGCAGCCGGCACCGTTTGGGGCCAGGGAGGTGTTTCTTGGCTGCCCGTGCACAAGCCTCGTTTTTAAGCCCTCAATCAAATGCTCCTAGACAGCGAGCTCGCGTGGCGCTCGGATTATTATCCCCTTAGAGGACTGAAGTGCAGCACGGAGGCTGCCGGGACTCCAAGCCCTGCTTGCAGGGCTCGAGATATTTCAGCGCGGCTGCTTAAAGCCACGCAGGCTTCCCCCCCAGCAAGACAGCCACTACATCACACGGGGAACGCGCTCCGAAATAATGATGTACAACTGGCCTTGAGGCGCTCTTTGCAGCTTGATTGGCCTCAATGGCAGGAGAATAACCGAGAGTTTATTGCTTCTCTTCCAGTGATCTTTACTCCCAGCTGTTTTCCCAGGGAGGGCCGGATCCCCTGCCCCATGCGAGGAGGTGGCGAGGTGCTGAGCGCACCCAGGTCCCGGGATGGGGCTCTGCCAACGGGGGGAGAAGCCCCCAGCCCCTGTTTGAAGGCTGAATGGGTTTGAGCTGCTGGCAACGAGACCCGGTCACCTCCTTGGTCCCTTCTCCTCCTTCCCGTGGGTGCAGCGCCTGTCACCACCCAGGCCACCGAGCAAGCCGCTGCCTTGGCTGCTGCAAAGCCCCCGCGACCTCAGCAGTGCCCAAAAGCTTTCTGCCTGCTCAGCTCACTGCTGGCTGTGCAGAAACAGAGCTGGAAAAGGGGGCAAAAAAAAAAAAAAAAAAGAAGAGTGTTTTCATGCAGGAAGATGTTGGCAGTCCCCAGCTCCTGGTGCGGTTTGCAGAGGGCAGAGGTGAGATGGTTGCAGCTGATTTTTTCCCCCTTTCCTTTTGAGGAGCTGTGCTGCAAATAGCCTGATTTATAAGATTTCTCTATCATTAAAATGTAAATGAAAACAGACACGAAAACAATCTGAATTTCCAGCCGAGTTGCTCTTGCTTAATATTCTACCCCGAAGGGGGATGTGCGGAAGCAACAACATTTCAAAGGGAATCATTAAAGAAGGCAGGCTCAGACTGCGTTTCCATCAGATACCGCGGCAGAGCCGAGCGCTCGGTGCCTTCCCCATCGTGGTGCTGATGAAGAGGAGGCGCGGGCAGCGCGACACCTCCGGAGCAGGGGACGTCGAGGGGTCACGTCCCGGTGCGCTTTGCTCCGGCACACGTGCCCGGGTGATGTCTGCAGCGTGATGCACGCAGGAGCCGGCACCATCGTGCGAATCCTCGCTGGGCTGTGCCCCTTTTTGAGTGCCTCGTGGGTTTTTGGAGATGCTCGGGGTGTGCAGAGTTTGGCTGCACAAAAAAAAAAAAAAAAAAAAAAAAAAAAAAGCCTGGCTGGGTGAGGAGTCTTCCCCACTACGAGGCACGAGGAGAGACAGAGCATCCCTCAGCGATGCTCACCACGCAGCAGTGGGGCACGTCCCTCCATCCCCTTACCCCCACTCCTCCTCCCACCCTGGCTCATGCACGGGCACGGGGTGAAGCCCCAGACCCCGTTCCTTTTTTATTTCCCCTGCACAGGGGGCTGCAGATCCGTGCTGCTCCGACAGATAAGGGGATGCATGGAAAAGGCTGCCCAGCTCGGATGCCCTGGGGCAGGACGGCTGAGCCCGCTGGGTGATGCAGGGCAGAGCTGCTCCCCTCTCCTCTTTTCTCCTCTTTTCTCCCCCTCTTTTTTCCTCTCTTCTCCTCTCCTCTGGGACCTCCCAGGCAGCGGCAGGTGCTCGGCCACGGCGGCACATATGGATTCTATAAGGGCTGAGCTCATCTCCTTGCCCTGGGGAGGGCGGTGGCGCGGGACGGGGCTGCCGGGTGCGGGGAAAAGCCCTTCCCGCTGCAAAGCAAGTGTGGGAGAGCTGGAAGTCCCCGAGACACAAATGGAAGAGCCCAGGATGCCCTTTTTAGAGTCACTTTTCAGAGTGGAAATACGCTGAAAATAAAAAAGGGGGGCTTTAAGTGCATCCCAGTCTGGATCTCTGGATGTTAATGGCCCGCGTTGATTCATTTTCTTTTGTACTTTCATGGCATCAGTTATCACATCGTACGATTTTATTTTTAAAGGCCTTTTTTTAAGCCCACAAAACACTGGAAATAGTTAGGCTGGATTCAAATTACAAGGTAAAACATTTCCCTCCAAACCTTCCTAAATGCTTGATTTTCTTTTATGCCATTATTTTGACATCTAAAGAAAGGCACCGTGTGCCAAACCTTGCTTTGCGCAGTAAAATCGGCCCAGTGTTGCAGGGCTTTAATATAATAATAACAATAAACTTCCAGAGGAGACCTTAAAAACAAAGGGCCCTGTCTGCTGCACATGGAAATTCAGGCTCACATGCCCCGAGGTCCATGGCTCATTTTCCCCGCGTGCCGAGGAAGCCGTCACATGCGAGCCCCGGCTCCAGCCCCACCGGGCAGCCAGATCCAGACCCCACTGGTGTCACTGGGTTGTGCCATCAGGCTGGGGGGCTTCAAGGCTGGAGCAGCTCTGCACAGACCCCAAGAGTCACAGCATCCATCTGCAGGAGGAGAATCTGGAACCTTACTTTTGGAGGGTTGGAAATCCCTAAGGATGGAGAAATGTCCGGTGTGGGGCCAGGTTGAGCCCAGCCATGGTTGGATCCTCACCCACGAGGGGCTGGACAGGGCTGGCACGGGGTTGCGGGGGGATTTCTTTGCAGGGTCACCATCCCCCGGGATGCAGAGCGAGGACATCACCCCCTGAAGCTGGCACAGGCTCAGCCCCGTGGGTTTTTGCGTCTTTGTTTTCCCCCCTGCAGTCCATGGGGGGTTTAATTAATTTGCAAATCTCGCTTGGGTATCGGAGCTGGGGGTGGAAACACTTGGGAAGAAGTGGATTTTGCAAATCACGGCTGGCCATCTACACCCAGCTCCGGGGGCGCAGGCATCGGGGCTCCCAGCGCTCGGGGAGGAAGCCTCTTGCTGGCGGAGCAGATCCACCCCTTTGATCTGCTCCCGCAGTTATTCTTTCATTTCTTGAGCAAATAATCTGGATTTTCACAATATTTACCTTGGAAATAATTATTTGTGTAAAGCATTCGACCAAGACAAACAGAGAATCGCTCGGCTGGCTCAGGAGAGCAGCCGGCCCGGGGGTCTCATGTTCCCCTCCATCTCCTGAGCCTCCGTGCCGCGGGCTCGCGCGAGCCAGCAGCCAAAAAACGGCCACGAACCCGGCTGGCAGGGGCTGGGGACACGGCTCCTCATGGCCCCCACTCCTCAGTGACTTAAAGGGTGGAAAAAGGCAGCTGCCCTGCCCGGGAATCCCCTTCAGGCACCGCTACCCCAGTCCCTGAGGGTTTTAACTGGGGCTATCGCATCCTTCAGGTCCCCGAGGTTCAGCGGCTGTGGAGGAGAAGCAGGAAAGGGGAGAGAGAAAAAAAAAAAAAAGGTGAAGGAAGGTTCAAAGGCCTTTTTTTCATCTCTATTTAATCTCTACGAGGCCCGAGGCAAAGTCACCTTCGGGTCAGCACTCAGGTGTTTTTATCTCCAGCCCCATCAGCGCCGAGCTGCCCCCCCAGCCCTGCCACTGCCCGCCTGGAGCCAGGCTCGGCGCAGGAGGGGGCAGCTCCAGCCCCGCACCCCGTGATGCTCCCGGGTCAGGAGGGGACCATGCTGCAGAGGAGAAAAGGAACAAACCCACTCGGCTGTTTCACCTGTGAGGTTTTTATTAGGGCGTGCGCGATGCCCGTGGGCTGATATGAAGCATGCAGCGGGCGCTGAGCAGGAGCAAGCGCGAGCGTGGCGGTGTTTCGGAGCAGCCGGGTGCTTTTGGGGACACTGCCGGGCTCCTCCTGCCCCACGCTGGGGACAAGAGGGGCAGCACAGGGCTTTCCAGATGAGAAATTAAATTGAAATTAAATCGGTGCCAGGGCAGGAGCGCAGCCCAGTCCCGACTGCATCCGGACCCCAGGGTGCTGCTCCTGCCACACCAGCAAATTGAGCACAACACGGCATGTAAGCTCTTGGGAAAATACAGCAGGCATGCAGAGCATCTCCTTTTTAATCTCTGTTTAACGAGGCTGTTCCTCACAGTCTCTGTGCAGTCCTCGCTGGATGAAACGCAGCTCAGAAAAAAAAATACTGTTTGCTTTAAAGTGATAAATTAACACACACACACACACACACGGCACGACTCTGCGAGCGGCTTCCTGATCATGCACCGCGGTGAAGCAGCTCCCACAGCACACGGATGTGCATATCTACAACCTGGCTGTAAAAAAAATCGGAATTATCTCTTCTCTAATACTGAATATGTATTTAAAAAAAAAAAAAGTATACAGGATTTGAAGCCGTTGAGACTTGGAATTGTTTTTAACCGTTCTGAGGTCACTTTTCAGGGTGATTCTCTCCCTCTCTCTGTCTCTCTGGAGCTGGTGCCTTAGCTCAGATCGTATCTGCAGGGCTTTAAACGTGCTTCATTAGGCTGGGCACTGGGGCGAGGCCCTAGGAACGGCACAGGACACCTTGCACAGCACCACCGGGCTGCTCCAGATCCGTGATGTGGGACGGAGGCGACACCGTGCAAGGAGCCTCGAGTGCTGGTGCATGTGCCGAGTGAGGAAGAGGAGAGGTGGGCGACGAAATGTCCTTTAAAACTCTGCTGCGTGAGCCACGCAACACCCGAGGTGGCCCTGGGGCTGTCACAGACCCCCCCTTTCAACTGCGCACCCTCTTTGGGGTGCGTTATCCAGGCAATAAACCCTCACGGAGCTGCAGAGCTCCAGGGATGTGGCCAGCAGAATTCCTGGTGCCGAACGCTCACACGAAGGGCTCCAAACGGGGCGCAGGAGGCGAGCCGGAGCAAACCCCGGCTGGGAGCTTGGGGCAGCTCTCAGAGGCCGGGGCACGGGGCGCCCTGCTGCATGCAGCGGATCAGCTCCTTGCGGTTGTCCAGGATGGTGTCGAAGCTCTCCTGCAGCCGGTTCTGCTGCTCCACCACCTTCTGCTGGAGGCCGTGGATCCAGCGCAGCAGGGCCAGGCGCCGGTACATCACCAGCTGCACGTGGTGCTTCTCCTTCTCCCGCTCCTTGAAGCGCTCCTTGTCCTGGAGGTGCTGCACCGCCTCCGCCAGCACCGGGAACAGGGGTTCAGGATGGGGTTCGGCCACAGGGGGGGCACCAGGGGGGTCCCAAGAGCCACCAGCAGGCGCTTGTCGGGGCTGTCGATGCTGAGGGCGCTGCTGGCGTAGCCAGTTGTCCTCCACGGGGGACCCTGGGGGCTCACCACCCACCGCCCCCACGACCTCCGCTCCCTCGGGGGGGCTGCGCTCGCCCTCCTCGGGGGGACGCGCTGCGCTCGGGGGGGTGTCCCTAAGCCTGCCCTGCCCCTCCTGTCTCCGCGTTAATAACAGCAGATTATCGGAGGGATTTGGCGTGTTTTCGCCCCCCCCGGCCCCGTCGCTGCCCAGCGCATGCTGGCTCCAGTTCTGGTTGCTGTCGCACCCCTCCCCGGAGAAGTTGCAGTTGGGGTCGGGGCCGCAGCCCCCCCCCACCCCCGGGAAGGCTGCGCCCAGCGTGGGGACCCCCGGGAACGGGGAATTCGATGGGGCATCGGGTGGGCAGACAGCAAACATCTCGCCAGGCTCCTGCCTGCAAGAGAGAGCCAGGCACCGGGTTGGCATCAATATGGGGCCAGGGGGCTGTGGGATAAGGGGTTTGGGGGGTTTGGGGTGCTGGGGGGGGTCAGGGCATGCTGTGAGGTATGGCAAGTGGGTACAAGGGCTGGCCAAACAAGGAGGCAAACGCCCTTGTACTTCGTTTGCCTCATTTAAAGCTGCCGAGGCCAAACTCCTGCCCCCGGGGTTTTGAGGTGCCTCTGGGCTGGGAACCCCAAATGGCACCGGGGACAGGGGGGGCACAGCTGGGGCAAGCACCCCGCCTGGAGCCACGGTTTTATGGCTTCCTTTTGGAAAGGGTTGGGGGGCACGCTCGTGCCTGTGTCCGCCAATTAATTAATTAATTAATTAGTGCCACGCTGATGGAGATTTGCCGGGAAGGAGATGAGGCTCCAGCAGGAGGAACATTTATTTATGGGGTCACCCATGGGGATGAGCCCTGATGGTGTGGGGTGGCCTGGTGCAGACCCCCACTCATGTCCTGAGTCCCCCCACCCCCGGGTCCTGCGGGGTCCCCCCCGGTCCCGTGCCCCCCCCCAGTCCTTCTGCAGACCCCCCGGTCCTGCTCCCCCACCCCCAAGTCCTGCGGGCACCCCCAGATCGTGCAGCTCCCCCCTCGGTCCTACAGCATCCCACTGGTCCTGCTGCCCCCCCTCCCGGTCCTACGACCCCCCCCCGAGTCCTGCAGACCCCCCCTGTTCCTGCATCCCCTCCCGGGTCCTGCAGGACCCCCCTCGAGTCCTGTGCCCCCCTCCCCATTCCTGCGCCCCCCCCGGGTCCTGCCGTCCCCCTCCCGGCCCTGCCGCCCCCCCGCATTCCTGCAACCCCCCCCCCCTCCCGCTCCTGCATTCCCCCCCGGTCCTGCTGCATCCCCCCCCCGGTCCTTTATCCCCCACCTCCATTCCCAAGCCCCCCCCCCCGGCCCTGCCGCCCCCTCCCCACGCACACCCGGTGTCCCCCCCCCGGTGCCGGCAGCGCTCACCGGCAGCCCCGAGCCCGCAGCTCCGCCGCCGCCGCCTGGGGGGGGGGAACGGAAACGGGGAGGTGCCAGGCCCCGCACTTCCGACGGCGCCCCGGGTCCCCCCCCCGCTTAAACGGGATCTTGGGGGGGGCACCGGGCAAGGGGAGGGGGCTTGAGGGGTCCTGAAGGGGTCCTGGGGGTCGTGGGGGGCGGCGGCTGGACGGGGCCCCCGCACACGCGTGGCTGTGGGGTCCCGCGGGAGGGGCGGGATGCTCGGGGGGGGGAATGAAAAATGGGGGGGGTCGCAGGGGTGTAGACCCCCCACGGACATCCCCGTGGGCAGAGGGGTCGTGGTGGTGCAGCCCCTGTCTGTGGGCAGTGGGGTTTGGGGATGCAGCCCCCCCCATAGAGCCCCCATCGGCAGTGGGGTCATGGGGATGAAGCCCCCCCACCCCTCCATGAGTAGTGGGGTCACAGGGGTGCAGCCCCTCTCCATGAGCAATGGGTTTGAGGGTGCATACACCCCCCATACACCCTCTGCAGACAGTGGGATCAGGGGGGTGCACCCCACACACACCCCCATGGACAGTAGGGTCTCGGGGTTACCCATGGGTGCAACCACACAGGGAGGTGCCCGCATTCGGGACGCGACGGCTCCATCCCAGCCCCGGTCCCGGGGGTCCCGTGAGGCTCAGCAGGGCCCCTGGGGGGTGCGAGGGGGGGCAATGGGAGCCAGGGCTCTCAATGGGGCCGTTGTTGCCCCTCACCACATCAGACAGCTCCCACAGGGGCCTGGGGGGTCACATGAAGCACTGCAGGCGATCAGGGGATAAAGATGCTTTGTGGGGCCAGGGTGAGCCGGGGGGGGACGGAGATGCCCCCCCTGGGACGGGCGCTTCTGCTGGCTCCGTCTGGACGGGGCCTTCACCAGCATCCCACATGGTGCTGGGGGACCCAAGGCCACCTCACTGCGGGGTTTTGGAGCAGGGGAATGTCACCCACAAGTGACAGGCGCCTCCTTTTAGCTCCCCCCCTTCCCCCCCCATCACGCCATCTGCCCCCACAGGCCCTGCTCCGGAGAAATTGGTGGGTCTGGGAGCCACGGCCTAGGCCTTGTCTGGTAGGAAAGGCCAAGATGAAAGGAACGAAACGTTCCGGTCCCACAGGAAAGGCAGAAACCGGCTCAGACGCTTCTGGGAATGAGCAGGAAAGGGAAAAAAAAATAAATAAATAAAAAATAGGGTGAACAATGGGCTCTGCTCTGCTGTGAGCTGTGTGTTTGTTAGCGCCGGTTGGTGTCCAGCTCCCTTTAGGGGCCCGAAGTCAAAGCAAAGCAAAACATTGCACTGAGAGAGCAACGAGGAAAACAGCCCCGGGCCGGGGACCTTCTCCTGCAGCTCGGCTGAAGCCGACCCTTTCTCATCACAGATTTGGGTTTCAAAGAGCAAAAAAAGGCTCCCAGTGCTGCTGGGGGGCCGGGGCGCTGCCCCCCTCTATCCCCTGCCCGTGGGGTCCCATGGGGCCGGTTGGGGCCAGGACCCACTGCCACTGGCCTGGCTTCACTCCTGCTGTATTTGGGGTTTCCTCCCCCCCCCGTTTGGGTTTTTTTCCTCCCCCCAGTGCTGGCGACCACACGGGCAGGATCAGTGCCAGGAGCTCACAGTTGTGGGTCCCATTTGGTTGGGGTTTGCAGCGGTGCAGATCCCCCGGCCCTGGGATTATCTCTGTCTGATTGAGGCCGGAGCGGATTTGCTGTTTGCAATGAAAACAGCTCGGCCGCGCTGGGAACCCAGCCTTGTCCTCAGCCCCAGCTGTCTGCCCAGACAGAGAGAATCCCAAAATGTCTGCGTTCAGGAGGAGTCCCCCAGAGCCACACCGGGTCCCAGCACAGCCTCGTGGACGGGGCAGCAGAAACCAGGAGCGAGCGGTGCTGAGCCACGAGCAGGGCAGCAGTGATGGGGGAACTCTTTTGGGACACCCCACAGCACTGGCACTGCTGTCACCAAGGAACCAGCTCCTAGTGAAGGATTGGGGACACGGGGTGATAGGGACACAGGGTGATGGGGACATGGGGACACGGGGCCGCTGTGCTGGGCTCTCCTGGGGCAGGAGGAGAGCGAGGGCTTGCAGGCGGAGCGGAGCTTAGCGATGGATTTCAGAGCTGTCTTGCACTCCTCTTCCCCCACTTTGTTCCAGGAACAAATTAAAAGCTCTCTCTTCAGGAAATTAAAAAACGATTTTAAATGACTGAGCGCAAAGTCTGATGTGCTGGGACTTCAGGGCTGGATAGGTTGGGCTGTGCACCCCGGTGTTCAGGGGCAAAAGGGTGCAGAAGGGGCCGTCCCACACCCAAATTTTGGGATCCTCCATGACCTCTGGCTCTGGCTGGTCCCCTACATCAGCCCCAGCACCCCAGGGACACGCTGGAGCAGGACCTGGAGCTGGGAAGCACAGCCCCAAGCACGGCCACTGACCATGGGACAGGGATGCAAAGAGGGAGGAGAAAGAGCTTTTGGGGGCTTCTGAGGTTTTTTGGGGGCTGCTGGGGGGGCACAAGGCCAGGTGAGAGCCAGCCTGGCTGCTCCTGGTGTGCAACGCGTGGCACACGTGTGTGCTCCGTGCCCGTTGCGCGCTCCCCGCGTGTGCTCGGGATGGGAGAGCGGCTGAGAGCTGGTGCACGGGGGGGACTGTGTGCAAGGAGGGGGCGCGTAGGCTGGAGCCTGCAGCCTGAGGAGGAAATGAAACATGTTTTTTTGGGAGATTTCCACATTCTTGCCATCGATTCCCATCTCCCACCCTCTCCTGCAGCGGTGGCCGCGGTGCTTTGCCAGGCAGCCAGTCTGGGAATGGGCTCGGTTGGGGTCATCGGTGGCCAAGAGCACCCAGGCACCAGCCCGCCCAGGACACGGAGCCCCCATGGGGCCAGCACCCCGCTGCTGGGACCCCAGCACTGCGAATTTGTCCCGAAAGAGTTAAAAGCGGAACATCGCAAAAAGAAGAAGAAAAAAAAAAAAAAAAAAAGAATTACAAAAGAAAAAAAGTGCCCTGAACCACATGCGACCTAACCTCCCCAGCGGCTCATCTGAGTTTAATAACGGAGGGGGGAAATCTCCCAAAAAGCTCTCAGAGAAATTAAAGTAAACAACGTCCTGACCTCCACCCCGCGCTGCCCTGCCACTGACTCGGCTCGGCTGATGCGGCCACAGCCAGGCTGGCACGCGGGGTAATTGTAACCACCTTTGGGTACGCACCGGGGGGCAGCGGGGTCCGGGGGGAGCAGCTCCCGCAGGGACACCGCTGGGGATGCGGGGCCAGGAGCCACTGGGGCTTTGACACAGCCCTGAGGCTGTGAAACAGCAGCAAAACAGCACCGGGAGCACCCATGGGTGCTGGCACATCGGGTTGAGGAGGTGGAGAAGGGAGGGTCTGGTCCTGCTGGTGGAGGAAGGAGGAGGAGGAGGAGGATGTTACAGAGGGTTTGGCCTCTGGGCCTCGGCAAACGTAGAAGCAAGGCTCTTGTTTTCATGGATCCTGATCGTTTTTGTGGGCTGATTTAAAGAAAAGTGGCCCCAGGCTGTGGAGTGGTGGTGCAGGCAAAGCTGCTGGCCCTGGGGGGGGTGGGAAATGGGAGCTGTGTCACTGCCTGCATGTCCCCATCCCTGTCCCCATCCCTGTCCCCATCCCCCTTTCCATCCCCATCCCCGTCCCCATCCCTGCCGGCAGTGCCCTCGCACACCGCATCCCCTCTGTCCATCTGCATTTCCCAGCGGGTTTTCCATGGGCAGCACCACTCGAGGAAGGGGAAGGAGGGAGAGGGGTTGAGCCCCGCTCGCCCCGGCCCCCACGCCAGTCCCACCGCCGCCTGCCATCTACCTGTAAAACGAATTACGTTTCAATCAGAATCAAAGGCAGGGACAGATGCGCTGTATTTGGTGAAAAATGCCAGGAATCTGCAGCCAGATTGGATTTCACAAGAGCTGGGATTCCCGCGGAGGCCAAACCGTGTCCACGGGACTCGAGGTCAGACCCCGCCGCCCCCCGGGGCCAGGGACAAGGCACCAGCCATGGGGACACGGGCTCTGCCATGGGACACGAAGCCCCCACGGGACAGACGCCCCCTCTGAACCTCCCTTCTCCAGGGAGAAGAGCCTCCTTCATCTTTGCTTTCATAACTCACAAAAAAAGGAAAAAAAAGGGTTTTATCTGGATTCGAGGAGATGTGCTGTGCCAAGAGAGCAGAGCCGCTGTCCTCCAGCCGTTTCCTCTGCGGTTTATCCGCTGCTTAGCTACAAAAGGGGAATATTGACGCCGACTCCACCCCTTCCATTAGACCAGGACCCAAAAATCACCATTTCCTCTGGGCCTGTGAATCACTAATAAACTCCAGACAGAAAGGTCTGATTAGGAAATTGTTTGGGAAATTGAAAGGAAGTGGGAGGGCCGGGCGCTCGCGGCAGCTCCGGGGGCTTTGCTGCCGGTGTCACCTCCCCGCGCCACGGGACGGGTCCTGCCACGGTCCCCATGTGTCTGCTCCGGGTGCTCGACGCATCCCCAACCCCAGCCTGGCAGCTGGTATTCTGCAGCAGCTGGAAAATGCTGAGCTGGCAGATTAAAAAAAAAAAAGAGATTTCAGGTGAAAATGCTCAGAGGAACGTAGCAGGGACCAAGCGGGGACGTGGCACCCCAGGGGATGCTGGCACTGGCACTCGCTCTGCCAATTTTGGGCACATCCTGCACACCCCAGCACATCCCCAGTGCCTGCTCCGGGGCGATGCCAGCTGCTGCTCCGCACCCCAGCAGCGGCTGAATTTCAGCAGCTCACGGATTTTCCCGTCTGTGCGGATTTGGGGATGAAAAATCGCTGTGCACATCTTTTTTTTTTTTTTTTTTTTCTCTTTGATCGCTGTCCATCAGCTGAGCCGAGGCAGCGGAGCTAAACGAAATCTCCCCATCGCTCGCTATCTGCGGCTGGGCGTTTGCCAGCCCCTGAGCATGAAACCCTTGGCTCGTGCCCAAGCACCGCGTGTCTCTGGGCTGTCTCCTGCCCGAGCCAGACCCGGCCACCAGCTCCCTGCAGCCCAGGAGACAGGGCGCTCAGTGCAGCAGAGCTCTCAGCTGCAGATAACACAACAA